GGGCGAAATGACTAAAAAGAAAACACTTAATGAAAATATTACGCGAGTGCGGGTAAATTGAAAGCCAAATGCATTTTAATGCCGCATTCTCAACTAAAATGAGGCACAAGCACAAACACAAACATGCGTGCACTCACACAAACACATATACACATCCGCCAGCCGGAAGCCGGAAGCCGCAATGTGCAATAAAGATTGCAAGGCGCGTGAGTGTTGCTGGCGAGAAAGTGAAGGGTTAGGGGAATTTGTGCACTTAGAAAAAAATAAACTACCGCAATTGAAGCACAACAATTGCATTACATACTTTCAGGTGTGTTATATATTTATATCAAGCAGGATAAAATGGTTGATTGTTAGTATATATTCTATATATATTGGAAAATAAAATTTTTAAAAGCTAAAACCCTCATTAACTATTTTTAGCCTTAACCTGATTTCTGAGATTTTTTGTTTGTGTCTTTTTGGATGTGCCGGATGCTGAAGTAAAAAGTTTAAGGCAGCACGTAAAGATCGTTGCCATTGATTTATGCGCCGCGTGCCACTGCGAGCGTGAAGCGTGCAACAAGCCCTGCGCACAAAGAGCAAAATAAATGGGGGCCAGAAGGGTTGGATTCCCGACCGACCATGAGATGACCATGGAGCTGCTCCTGCCGCTTGACGTGTGCTGCGGGGCTCCCGCTTCAGCTCCAGCTGCTAAATAAGTGTGTCAATGTTGGCCGTCGTCTCCATTTGCCGGAAAACTGAACTGAAAACCCCCGCCCACCAATCCACCGACAGCTAAATAAAGTGCGCCCGAAAAAACGTGCCGGAAACGCTCGAAACGGGCTGCTGCTCTGCAAGCTATTTGGCCCTGCGAAATTTGATTAAGTCCACGATGGCGATGAGTTCATTGCGCGTGCAAAATGATTCGCTTAACGGTGGGAACTTCGCATTTCAGCGGGGTGGACCCATGTTGCATTGGTGTGAAACAATAGAAGCAGAAAGAGCTATTGTATCTCATGGTTCTAAAAAAAGTCAATAAAAAATGCTTTGAAATTATAAAAATAGTCATGAACACTTGTGTAAAACACAGACTGTAAACAGAATTGTTATACAAATCTTTTATTAGGGTCATGAGAACTTGATTTTAAACGAATCAACAATGTTATTAACACAGTTGTGCTAATAACATGTGTATTCTAACGCCTACTGCCTTTGTTTACATCAATCAGATAAATGGTGTGGAGAAAAAAGTTGTTCTATAGAAAATATATTGTTATATTCTACACAAAATGGCTAACTGATGATTATCTTCTAAGTTACACAAGGATTTTGTGCACAAATTTGAATTAGATTCAACTGGTATTTGAGTAATATGTGCATATGTTTACGAATGTACACATTTGCATAAATCAAGTCTTAGGCTAATACAAATATTCAAAATTCGCAATTAGTTCGTAAAGGTCCACCCCTATTGACACAAAATAGCTTTCGGACATCGACAGTAACATCGAGCAAAGCCACGAACATGTTAATTAACGAATGGTTCGAACTTACTGGCACCACTACGACTGCCAACCAGAACCTAAACCAATTACAATTGCTGGCCAAAATTGCGTCTGTCAATGGCATCAATGTTCGATTTTTGTCACACATGACATGAGTTGCAGTTTGACAGCGGCCAAAATGTAGCAGGTGCCACAAATGGAACGACAATTGTTGAACATGCAGCGGGGTGTGTCCATTTTCCAAACTCCCAAACTACGTTGCAATCGGCTTTAAGTTAAGTTAAATTGTTTAAAAAAGCAATGGCCTTGTATTTTCTATTGGCTACCCTTTAATTATTCATTTCTGGCCGCGTAATGAGCCCAAATAAATGATAAATTATGCAGGGCCGTTCAGAACCCCATTGCCATGAATGCCAAGTAACCTAACCGGTTACAGCCAGCCAATTTGGCCAAAAACTTGCAGCTGTTGTCGCGGCAAGTTGATTTGCATTAAACACGCCCAAGAAGGCGAAGCTGCAGCTTCGATCTCCCACTTTTTTGTGGCCCAATTGAGTGCAGTTTTTTTGTGCGGTGCATGTTGCACGTCATGTCGGCCATGTTTCAGCTGAGCCAACGGAACGCGCCCCCTGATTTATGACCTTGGGTGTTTATTTGCTAGCCGTGTCCAAAAGTTTCCGGGCCGAGATTTATGTGCAACCCAAGGCAAGACAAACCGCACGCAGCTTCTTGAGTCGGTGAATAAAGTGCACTAATAAGTTGGGGAGTTTAGGCCAAGTGGCTGAGAGTCCGGGGCTGCCAGAAATGCCACAAGATACAAGGCAATAGACAAAACAAATGTTGGCAAAAGTTCACAAAGTTTTCAGGGCTCGAAAGGGGCAAGCAGCATAAATCGTTTTATTGAGCGCGTCAGGCAAAAAGTTGCACCAGCAGCAAGCCAGCAATTTGCCAGGGCAGCTCGAGATGGGATAACCGGGACAATAAAGCGCAAAACTTTTTCAAACATGGCCCGAAAAGAAATTGGCAACAGACGGCAGCGCTCAAAAGTCGTTTCTCGGTCCAGGCCAATTGTTAATGGCTAATTATTTGGAGCTAACGTTTTTCCAATTCCTCTGCTGTCGCGCCTATAAGGGCAAAAAAATAAAAAAAAAACCGAAGACAAAACCAAACATTTCTTGGCACAATTCACACTGAAGGGACAGCGAAGAAATGCACATAAATTTTACTTAGCCAAGTTCCAGAGAGTTTCGCCTGCCAAGTGGCAGCCAAAAGAAGTCAAAAGAAGTGCAAAGAGCGATAACAACAATAAGTTGCGAGCATTGCTCGAATGCACAATGCAAGTGGCGATAGTTTGCCATAGTTTAGGCATTGCCAATCCCTCGATTTACCCCCTTTGGCCACGCCCATGGCTTTGATGAAACGCTCAATGGTTCGTTGGTGTTCAGTAATGGAAGGTATAAAATGTACCTAGCTAAAAACTAGGTACTTATTGTCTCTACTTTTTGCATTTATTTCAGAATTTAAAGTTAAACTCGAGAACATGAAAACATTGCGCAAAGAAATAATACCTTTTTAAATTTTGTTTTTTATGTTCTCAGTTATATTTGTGACATAACTTTTACCTTACTCAGGTGGGAAAAAATCCCTTCCATCTCTGCTGGTATCCTTTTAGTGTCAGGCGAAATGGGAAGCCGCCAGCGAAATTTATGCGAGTTTAACAAGCAGCTAGCAACAGAAAGGTTCCGTTACACTTTCTTGCAGCAAATAGGCATAAATTTGCATTTAATGTAGTCGACAAAAACGCTAGCAGAAGGCAAAAAAAAAAAAAAAAACAAAAAAAATGAGCAGCACAAATGCCAAAAAATTATTCTGCTATTTAGTATATAATTTCCTGGAATAGTCTTGGTTGGTGTGGTCGGCGTTTTGGATACGTGGTCCGGTCTGCAGTCGCCAGGTGCCATTAAAGCCGCATAAATTTTTTAAACTTTCGCCAATTTGCATTGCAAATGCTCTCCGCACACTCACACACACAGAAAAGCACATACCCATGGCTAATATACAACGGCAACGTGTGCGAGCGTTTGTATTTTCGCGTTCTGCATGTGGTTTCAAAAGCGTTTGGGTCAGTCTATTAAAATGCAAAGAGCCGTCACTCCACGACCCCACACTCTCGATCCTGTTGGCCAGCCGGAAGTCCATTTTGTCTTGTCGTTCACATCATAAATATGGCCGGTCAAATGGCGGCTCTGTTTATTGCTAAGCCCTGTCTGCATGTGTCTGTGTGTTGCCGCTTTTAATGACAATTTGTTGAGGTTTGCATAAAATTTCAACGCTTTTCGTTTGGCACACATTCAGCACCCGTTTCGCTCGTCTTCGTTTTTTGCTTCGCTTTCCTTTGCCAGCCCGGCATAAATTTAAATAATTCTCGCTTTTGACGCCAGTGAAGTGGCGTTTGAAGTGTGTCTGTGTTTGTGGTTTATGACGGGTTCTGTTGGCGTTTTACGAGAGAATGCGGCGGAGTATTGGTTGCCAATCCTGGTCAATTGCCTGGCCTTCTCGGCTTAGACCACCACTCAGCCATTAAATTTTCAATCAATCTAATCATTATCAATATATGCTTTCGGTCCCCCCTGCTCTCCGCAGACCATTTGCCACAACTCGAATGTCTTATTCATGTGCCTGCGGTTATGCAATGATAAATTTATGGCCCAAATTGGGCGTGGTCAACTGGTCTAGCTGTCGCCCAAAATACTGCAAAATTCACTTGAAATCGATATTGACATTGCTGTATTTATGTCGCATTCGCAATCAAAGCCAGCTTTTAAAATATGCTAGTTAAATTTCACGAAATGACAGTCGTATAATATCGGGGATGTGTGAAAGTAGGGCAACACTTTTATTTAGCAGTGTGCTTGTCTCTTCTTTGGTTTATTATTTTCCACACGGGTGCTTCGACATGACGAAATCCACTAGCCCCGAAAAACAACAAATAAATATAAGGGAATGCTACACCAAGGCGGGAACGAAGACATCGACAAAGTTGTCGTCGCTTCGCTCTCACTGCTTGTCACTTAAAGCGAAAAACAATTTTTCTTTAGCTGAGAAAGTGTAAGTGTGCATGTGTATGGTTGTGTGTGTGTGTGTGGAAGCTATCTGAAAACCAATTTTCGTTGCTAAATTGATGTTTATAGCTATGTAGGAGCACGCCGACGACAGCGATGAGAATGACGATGAAGATGACGATGATGCGGCCGTCGATGGCTATGATGAGCTTGTTGCGGCCACCGCCCGCCGCCTTTGATGAAGACAAAGTGCCAATGCGAAAAACTAAACGCCAAGCTACCATACAAGCCAAGCAAAGTCGATCCAAGCAGTTGCACAATGAGAAAATGTTACCAAAAGTGAAAAAAAAGCTATGTCCCCAAGATTTGTACCTAATTCATGTCTTTTAAAAATACAGCAAGGTCACACTGCAGCACTTGCAGCTTATAAAATACTCTGGTCGGACTTATTTAATACTTCGTTTTCAAAGTAGTTGCTCTAAATTTTCAGTGCACTGCAAGTGAACTCGCTCCCAGAATGCGGCAATGAAAATCCTTTTCGACGCGACTCAAATCAACTCTACTCCCGGCTTTTCCCCACCCCCATTCTTCATTTGACAGCATTTTGATGCTTCCGCTTGGAATTTATGTGACACTTGCAGTGCCATAGATCAGGCTGCGGGGCAAGGCACGAGACTGCTAGTTTCTGCCGGCATATCCTCGTTTTTATTACCTCCTTGCTACTTGCGCTGCCGATGTTGCTGCTACTGCTGCTGCTTTTGTGCGGACGCTTGATTTCCTCGAGCAAATTTGATCAACTGAAACAAGCGATAAACGGGTGGCAGTGACAGGTAATCCACATACTGCACTCAGTTAATTAGATGGCTATGGAAGTGCACATAAATAAACAATTAGGTGGCAGCAGATAACCGAGGCGTGTACTTGCAATTGCTGCATATTAATTGGAGCTCACTCGCACACATCTTCCACGTCTTCAAGGGGGCGCCCATTCCAAATTGTTCCTCGAGTGACTGAGTCATCAGCCCTCCAGTTTCCCTCAAGTCCTTCGGGCTCCTTGTAAGTAATTTAAAACGCTCCTGTTCGTGAATGCATTCGAAATGCTTTTCTCCCGCTCACAACTCGATGCGCCTGAGTCGCACCCCACGAGTGGAGTGCATCTGCCAGAGCCAACGCCATTATCCTGGGCATATGTCTAAGTCAGATCAAAGCCATAATGCTGGCTGAGTGCAAGTGGGGTGTAAGTGCGGATGACAGCGATATTAGGGCCAATTAGATGTCCGACTCGGGCTAAGAGTATCCCGGCGAAATGAATTGCTTTTATGACAGATTTGCTGGAAAATCAGATTCAGCGGTAATCAAAGAGCAACTCAAGTATGAGTTTGACAAAGAAGTAGTCAGTACATAGTGCTCGTTAGTATAAATTGGTTGGAACTGAAGGTAAATTTTCTCTACACAAAGGTATAGAAAACTTTCAGCTAACAGCAGCTGAAAATAGTCAATAGTGTTATCACATCAAAATGTTTAAGTTATATTTTACTTCAAATGGCTTTGTAGAAATCTAGATTATTTGCCACCTAATTTAGAACACGTTCATGTGTTATGTTATTATAAATACGTTTCTGAACTTATTATGACAAAAGATGGTTCTATCATAAGTCAAGCGTACCTGAAGTCAATGATTCCACTTTTTTTGTTGAATATTTTAACAGCTGTTCATTTAATTAGATTCAGGGCTAATAAGACTAGTCACCTTGAAGCTCCGGTAAAAAATAAAATGTTTCTGCATCTTGTTAGACATTTGATCGCATTTGGTTGCTGTTAGTGGATCGAAATAACCATACAACTCCCAGCCGTTCACCATGAAGCTGCTAGTTTGGTTGTGCCTCCTCGGCTGTTTGGCTAGTGCTAGTGCCCTTTTACTTCATGAGGAGGACAGGGATCTATTGACTAAAATACTGCCCACCGATTCCAAAACGCAAAACAGCAGCACCAACAGCACATCGCGAGATTCTGGTGGATTCATTCTACAATCGATCGAAGAGACAATAAGATTTATTGATCATACCTGGAGAGACTTTAGAAATGTAAATATACATATATATACCAAGTGCATTCCGCATCGTAAACGTCTAAAAACTTAGATTCATTTAAACAAAAGCTTAATTGTTTTAAAAGAAGAACAAACGAAAATACCAAGGCATTATGTTCTTACAAAAGTAATCATATCTGCACAACCGTAGCTTATTTGGACAATTGTTCTTTGCTTTTCTTTGATTGGCATGATTCTAAGTCTTCCAGACGTTTAAGCAAATAGGTTTTGGTGCCGTTATTAAGCTCATAAATTAGTTGCTCTTGAAACCCAGAAAAAAAACTTCACATTCTATCACTTTTATTTCGATACTATTCGTTCAATTTTTAAACTTTTTTATTTAACATGAAACTATTTTCTTTCCAGGGAGTGTTGGGGTTAATGGGGTTCGGAAGTGACAACAATAACTCGTCTAACACAACATCAACAAGTACAACAACAAGTACAACAACAGGTACAACAACAAGTACAACAACGAGTACAACAACGACTACAGAAGCAAGTACAACAACGACTACGGAATCGAGTACAACAACGACTACAGAAGCGAGCACAACAACGACTACAGAAGTGCCATCTACTAGTACAGAAAGTACTACGCAGCCACAGTAACCAGTACCTTAGCTCCATGAAAAGAAATTCTGTTGGTTAACCTTCGCATCGGATATTGCTCGTCATTGTTTGCATTCCAGCAGCTTTGCACGGGTATTTATACAACGGGTATATAAATATATGCGCCAGTCAGAACACTCTACGCTTCGTGTACTCATTATTTTGGTATTTACGCAAATGTTCGGGAGTTTCTACGCGGGGCAATCCATAAAAAGTTATCCCTACATCAGTCGTTGATCGACAATGTCTCGGCTTAGTAACTCCTTGTCCATCCTGTTTTTAGCCATCCAATGTCTGGCTTTTGGATCCCCAGCACCCACTGGGAACCCAGGGGATATATCTGATCGTCTTGTCACTTTCGAGATGACAATTGACAGGCACTCCGATCTTCTACTTCCCGAACTGGAACTTCTACTGTTGCAGGCAGAACAAAAACAAGATGGTAAGAATTAAAGACCCCTTATTATGAATTTCCCTAATTGATTGATTTCATCCAGATTTAGAAGTGGTCCGCATGCAATTGTTGCAGTTAAACCTAATGAAGCTCCTAATTGCTTTGGACTGTTTTATCTTACTCTGCATTTATTTCTACGCCAAAGAGGATAAATACCATCAAGTGCAAGCCGTCTGATAGATAATTACTAAAAGTGTTCGACATACTCTAAGTTATATAAGCTTAGTGAAAAATTTTACTGCCTTAAATAAAATATTTATTTTGTGAACACTTAACGTTTCTGCCCAAAACTTTTTGGTTTTAAAGTTTTAGTGATATTTGCATGTGTTCATTATAACATAAACAATAGTTCGGATCATTTTCTTTTATTTATACTTAATCAAAAATAACTTGCGAAAAATTCGGTACTCACTTTATTTAATTCAGTTTTAATGATCTATTGAAAATAAATATACTATAAGTTAGCTATTTAGGTATTTCGAAATGAGTTTTAATTTTCGTAAATTAAGCTCTAATGGTCTGTTTTAAATAAACTGTTATTGAATAATTATGAGCAAATTCACGCCTGCTGTTTGTTTAGGTCTGCCTACCCAACCAATATAATGCGAATTCTGGCAAAATGGTTTCGCCCGCCGAATGCATCGTTAAATATCGACAACAGTTTGCTCAATTCGGATGTTTGTTGTTTGAACTTTTAGTTCATAAATATTAACAGCTATTAAAGCACACACACAAGCAAGCAGTCGAAAAATTAATTTTAAAATTTAAAACTAACTGCATGCAATTTACGCGCAATTTGTCCGCCGCCTGCAATGTAAAATGCATCGTTGGCAATGCCATCAGGTGGTTGGTTGGCTGGTTTTTCGAGGCAGCTCAGCCTGGCCTAATGTTCGTTTAATTAAAAGCGGAAATTGAAGAAGTGAGCCAGTGGCCAAGCGACGAGCCGTGGCCAAAAGTGTCCAAAGTGGCCGGGATTCTTTGCTCGCAACTTTTTCCCAAGTCGGAGGAAATATTAAAAACGGAAAACACTTTGGGGCAACTAATTCTCACTGGCTTGCTTTCGACACGGCTTCCACTCGGCTGTCCTTTGCCATGTTTTCCTATTATTTTATACACACTTTTTTGGCAGCTTTCTTGGCCTGCAAAGTCTTGGCAAAAAGGGCGGCATAGCGAAACGAGTTGAGTTGAGTTGTGTGGAGTGGAAGTGGTAGTCGAAGTAAAACTGGAAGTGGAAGTTGAGAGGCGAGACGAGGCAAGGAAAAAGGAAGCAAGGCGGCGCAATTAGCAAGTTTACTGCATGAAATTATGAAACGCTTAATAAAAGCATGCTTGGGCGAAAGGCGAACGAGAGCAAAAAAAAAAAAAAAAAAAAGGAGAAAAAAGTGGTCCGAAAGGAATATTCGTACAATATATTAAAACACAGGGCTTCACAAGTGCCAGCAAGTTAATTAAAAGACTCGCATATTTGAAAAGTTTTCCACCCATTTTTCCATAGCCATCACATCACCATTACTGCTAACCAGCCGCCCCATCATCAGCGTTCGAGGCTGCAATTTAATCATGTAAGTGCTGGCAAATTGTTGGCTAAAATTAGAGCCAGACAAATATTGCGCATACGCCTAGTATCCGCGTTAAAAGGATGTTGCTGGCGTTGCCGCTGCCGTTGCTGTTGCTGTTGCTTCGACCGCCGTTGTTGCTGTTGCCAAGTTTTATGCTAATGGTTTTCGTTTAAAGCCAAAAGTAATTTATTGTTGTCAGCGGGCGCCATCAAAAATGTTGCTGCACATTCATTATGCCCGAGTGTGTTAGTGTGCTTCTCAGTATTCTGTTCTCTGTTTTTGGCCGTAGACCCTTATGTGGGCTTGGCGTGCATTAAAATTTTAGCCAGCCAAACAAAGCGGCCTGTGAGCCGAAGAACTTGCATGGAAATTAAGTTAGCCGAGAGGAGCCGAAATGTTTTCTCTGGTGATTTCTTATTTGCCATGGCCCTGCTAAATACCCCTTAAGTGTGCACTAAATGAATTTGGCTTGAAGTAGTTGACTCGGCCCGCTGGCAAACAAATGCTCGAGTGCTCGAGCCTTAACTAAATTTAAATATTTTACTTCTGCAACAGACCCATTTTTCGCTACGCCAAGTGACACGTTCTCGACCCATTGGCCCACTGGTTGGCCGGGAAAACTATGCCAGAAGATAAAACAGCCGCGAACTTTGCAACATGTTTACGGTAAAAACGTGATTTTCGGCACAAAAACGGAACGCTTGACCAAATGTGGCCAGGATCTCGAACCCTTTGCCAACTGTAAATAAGTTGAGTTAAGCGGCGAGGCACGCGCAGCGGGAGCCGCCCACAAACCAAGGCAAATGCTCGGCCACAGCCATAAAAATTAAACATTTGTAGCTTTGTCACGTTTGTGTTGACACTTTCTTATCACAGTCGGCTTGGTGCGCCCCCCATCGTCCCTCCCCCTTCCTCTAGCTGCCTTCTCCCCTCCCGGACGTCCGTTTCCTGCTCATCGCTGGTAACTCCCGCTCCGTGGAGTGGGCTCCATCCACTCGACCCGGCCTAAATATGTGCGTGTGCGTGTCAGCTTTGACTGCCGGCGTGACCCACCTGACCCCCGGGTTGAAATAAAACTTCAGGTGAGTGTGTGGGACTGACACCTACCCTCCAAAAACCACAGACGAACCACCCAACCACCTAACCACCCAGACACCCAGCCGAACCCACTCCACGATGTAGCATATGCTGTGCGATTTCATTAAAAGCCGGGCAAGTGCGGCAACGTGTCAGCCTGATTCTGGATGTTGAATGCTGGATGCTGGCTGCTGAATGCTGAACGGCGAATGCTGAGTTTGTGGCTAAGACCCGGCCGCATGCCAAATGCCAACTTGGCGGGTTCTAGTGCCAGTTTTCGGTGGCATAATTTGCGTTTTCTAATTAAATGCGATTAGGGCGACATCACCTGCTGATCCTTGGTTTGCAGTTGGATTCTTTTCGTGGAATGAAATGACACCGTAGTTGTTGTGGGAAACACTGTCATTCAGAGGATTTGTTTTGACATTTATGTCTAAATAAATCATTTTAATTAACACGTTTGTTTTGAAAACCAGTTAGGAAATAAGACGTTTCCTGGAAAGCGCACTTTAATTAATATTGTACCTTTACCTAGTTGAGTTTTTTATTAAGCCCTAAGGTTGTTCAAAAAATTCATACAGATTGCCTTGGAAAAAAAATATTTCGTTATTGCTCTCCACAGCATAACGAGTTTCTCTTATTACCTAAAAACGCATTTTTTGTGCATATGAGAAAATACGAAAAACTGGTCATTTTCATTACGAGTTGAAGGCAATCCTTTGCATTGGTGAACCAAAAGTGATTTCATTGGAATTATCCACTTCCATTTGACCAGCATCTCCGTTTTAAGTTCCGCTCCAGAAGCTTTCAGACCCGAGATATTTGCATGTGGCCCAAGTGTTGGTCCATATTTTTTGGTCAGGCTGAGGGCCACAGGCCCCAAAATATGCACTCTATTCCGACCGACACTTGGGCCAAGGTTTTGAGCTGCTAATGCGTTGCTCCTGCCTCCAGGATGGGCTCGATGATTTCATTTGCATATTGTATACCGGGCACTGTTGCTCCTCGCATGCTGAGATACATTTTGTGGCTCAAATTTATGACATGCCATTTGAGCTTGAGTTCTCAGTGTGGAGCAGCAGCCCCTTGGGAGTTGTGGGAGGCGACTTGGCAACTTCGGCGACTTTGTTGCCATGCAACTTTAATGAGTTGACGCACGAGACCACAAAACTTGACACCCAAAGGCTTTAAATTGAAAAAGTTTAATGAGCATGCGTATTTGATTAAGGTTTGGAATTCTTTTTACTCGTGGTTTTGACGGTGTCTTTGTGCCAGGATGCAATAACATAGGTTGCACGCTGCACATTTATTGACATTTCCGGTTCTCCCTTTGTCATCTGATGTTTAACCTGAGATGAAAAGGATGTAGCTAGAAGCATATATTGTTTGAACTCAGCTTGAGGCTTTTCCCACAAAGTTTTCATGTGCTTCTGCGCCAAAGAAGTTGTCGAAAGTGCCAGGCAAAAATCCTGTGGCGTTGCTTATTGCTGGCAATTCAATTAAATGCAGAGCTGCATGAAATACCCTTTGAGAGAAGGGCATGAGCATCGGAAATCCATAAAATGCATCACATGCCATCAAAGGCTCAAAAGTTTTTTCTGAGAGGTGCCAGGACATTTATTATTCGGAAGGCATAGTGTGCAGATATTTCTCGGCGCTCACACAGCTCTATTTGTCTCAATTGCAATCAAAGTTTGTGGCTCCCACTCAGTAGTTTTTTTCTTGTTCCCCCAGTCTCGGTTTTCTTTTCCCATTTTGTCACGCAAATTGCACAAAAGTTGGATTGACTTGAGCGGGAAATTAAGTTGATGGCTCCTTCTTGCCATTTTCAAGTCCTGATTCTCGGGTCCTTTGTCAGTTCGCCGTTGTATTTGCTTTGCTCGTCTAGCGATGTCATCGCCGCGTGCCTTGTACTTACTTATTTTACTTGCAATTTTGACAAAATTCAGCAAGCATATTAAAAAGTTTTCGGCTAGCTTGTAAGTGGCGCACTCGCCTGAAATAATAGCTGGCTGCTGGCAAGAATGCGCCCTTTAATTGCAGCAGCTTAAGGAAATCAAGAGTGCACACAAAACACAGACTCCAGCAGAACAAAACGCCGCAGCGAGCATAAGACAAAACCAGGGCAGCCCCCGAAAAAGGGAAGATAAAGCCGGGCCGCAATGCACTCAAGCGCGCTGACTTCCAACTAGCTTTGACTTGTGCCAAGCCAAGCGGAGACGGGCCAAAGTAGCTCGGTTGACAACCAAGCCGGGCCAGGACTCGTCCCACCGTGAAAATCAATTGGGCTCTGCGCAAGATGCTGCCCAGGATCCCCTGCTGGGCTTTCAACCGCCCCGGGTGACGCCTGTTTGTCTACACTGGAATATTGGCAAAAAGATTGGACTTAGTCATAAGAAAAAAAAAGAAATTTGGGAAAGTGTTTAAGATTAAGAGGGAATAATATAAACCCTCTTTTAAACTTTTCCAGTGTTTATTTTCTAAGCGAGATTTTGATAAACACATGTTTCTGTTTTAAAAATGTATAAATACATGAATTGAATATTTTGAGAAAAATAACCTTCTTTATAATTATTTTTCTTATATTTCTTTATC